ATGAACAACAATTAAGTTTTTCAACGAACTCCCGTGAGCGGCTGTTAAGTCGTTTCACTAAAAGCTTCGCTTGTCGTCGCTTTCGGTTTCGCCTATGTCACCGGGCCAGTCCACAATCATTAGGCGATAACACCCGGGTTCTCCTGAACTGGGCTCCTGCGAACAGACGCGCGCACTTTGTCACTGTCATACGGACTTGGTCGCAAAAGAAACTCAGGCGATTTTGTCACCTAAAACCAACGCTGAGACTGGAAAAGGCCACTCAAACAACTTCGATAAAGAGGAGAATTCATCCATAATTATTGAACATTCACTCAAAGGGTATATCGTCACAGAGCTTGTCATATTGAGGTAAACTCTTAATCACATTGAATTTTCGATATTCAGCACCCTCACGACGGAATTGAAGTAATGAAATAAGAAATAAAAGGGAAGTAGGAGTTCCATGATATTATCGAAATGAAAGCAACTTGCGACGCACAGAATAGAAGACCAGATATAAGATACTAACATCAAAGCAATATATAAGGTGGAAAAGCGAAAAAAATACTCATAATCCTCCTAAAGAACAGTAATTTACTATTTTTCAAACAATTATTTAAAACTCTGTAATCAAATAGGATTTCTAATAAAAACATTCACAACCCAACTTTTTAGTAAGGCATTTAAAGAGCGTTATAAAATCAATCAGAATACGTTTGGGGAGAACATAAATGTCATTTTTCTGCTGTTTTATAACAATGAACAGTCGACCTTTCTGGGGCCACCAAATAATACTGGCAAAAATAATACAATAAAAATCTAGGGACAAACGGAACCCAAATATTAGTGAGAAAGTAAAAATGGTAAAAAAATCCCTGTCGTACACATTACTGCACAATCAAACTCGCAACACTTTCCGAAGCACAATTATCAAACAAAGTATTTGTGAGATGAAGGCATTGTGAAAGTAGCACTTTTTTTCTTCATTGATATTTTTAATGTGACTCAATGTAACACTACAAATTATGACAATTATCTTCGTAATATCGAACTAAAGAGCTAAACTGTCTAAGGTGAACGTTCTATTACCGCCATTTTAACATAACAGAAAAATTTTTAATGCTTTAAAAAATTGGAGACGACACCCCCTATCCCCTTTTATTGGGCTACACCAAAAAGTAACAAATCCAAACGTATTAACTCCAAGATAAAATATAGTGCGTGTTGAAATGAAACAGGATGTTAACGTTTTCTGAAATGAAACTATTTTTTTCTGAATTTCAATAGTCGTTATAATTCTCCACATGTTTAATGTACATAAAAAACTTTAATAGCGAGCTACGTGACTCAGGGCGTAACGAGCTCAGTTCACATTCGGGAGGCCCGGGTTGAATCTTCGTGCCGACCATCCTGACCGGAGTTTTCGTGGTTTCACTCAAACATCCAGGCGAATACTGGAATGGTTCTACTGGAATGGAAAGCTACGACCGCGAAACCGGTGTCGCTAGCGAATTCGTGAACTACTGAAGCCACGAAAATTAAGCGAACTTCAGAAATCGCGGGTTCCTCATAGGGTGAAAAACTAGGAACCTCGGGATAAAACGGTGCCGAGGCCAATTACTCTTTACATATAACGGTGAAGTACAAATACAATTTTTTTTAACTTAACATAAATTGCAGTTGGAATACATTTCGATTTATTTCTCAATACTTAATGAACGCCATTTAATAATTAAACGTTCAAATTACATTCGCATTACAAACCGAAAGAAACACGAGGTAGTGATCACGACACGAGCACTCAGTAAACATCTCTCGCGTATATTGCAATACACCAACAAAACAAAGGACGAGCGCATTTTATCTTTAATATTTCACCAGTGTCAGCGAGAGTCCTGTTTCACGACACTGGTTGCGATGCATGTTATTTAGGCCCGTAATATGAAAGTTCACACGATCATGTATATTACTTAAAAAGCTGAAATATACATCACTGAGTACCTAATGCTGTTTCAGTTTACTGAAGACATAACACCTTGACATAATAGAGGGCAAACACAGATACAAATGTAATTAATCTTGAACGTCCACACAGTTATCAAATTTGCCTCAAAAACAGAACTGAACATTTCGCGATGGCGAAGGCGAAAGGGTCGCAAAGCCGACTTTTACTAAACAACCTAAACAATAATATGTGATATCTCTAGTTTAATATTAATCTATCACACTCTTAAATATGACAAACACTTCTGATCGAAATGAAAAATGCAGAAGATCGCCATGAACCCGCCAAACGAGAATCCCGTGTTACAGAAGTGGCAGAAAACTATTGAAGGAACTTTAATCTTGGGACTTGCGCTCTGTCATCAAACTCGCTTAAAGGAGATAATAATTGATCAAAAACTAAAAATGTAACGAAAATTTTCTATCTGAACCCGCAAAAAATAATCGAAGGAATAACTCACCAACAAAACAAGACGAACAACAAGCCCTGCATTACATACGAATATTTCAAACCAAGCTATACGCCATTACTCAAAGCGCGAGATTTATAAAACAGAATAGACACATTTATTCAACATCCATAAATAGCTGACGCGGAAATGAAAGTTACTGCAGAATGACAAACTCGAGACGAACGCAGTCAAAACCGATCCCATCACAAGAGACTCTTTCACAACCTCAATGACTATTTGAAACTTGTATTTTACTCTTGATGGTTCGGATATTAAAATGAACAAATGAACGTTGTGGAAATATAAAAATTTCACGCTTCGCGATGGCCAATAGCAAGGCGCCGGGCAGCGCCAGTCAACGCGTGCAACGATGATTGCTTGAGGGCGATGACGACTGGTGGGAAACTCTCCGTATAGCCCTAAACCGTATTTTACAGATTCCAGTACAACCCTAAAGACGCAATTTGATACGCGACACTTAAATATTGACCGTTGGACAAGTCTGAAGTTCTACACGACGCTTGCACTTTTATAATGGGTTCTGTATAACACATTTCGACGCTAAACGCTACGCGAAGCTCGTCATCTCAAACAAAAGAGTATCCACACTTCGTCGACTGCGTGCATGTCCGACTCCACGCATCGCGGTGGAAAATGCGTCAGAACGACGCGGAGGAAGGGCCGCTGTGCGCGGTGGCTGTGAACAGCAAAACCACAGTTCAGAGACCCGTGATACTGATTCTTAAACTAACTAAAGGACTCTGATGCAGGTCACATGACAGTTCCACAAAGAGATCTTGCTATCCATCGAAGTCTCATATGTGAAAAAGCTTTGCGAAAACATGAACACATTACCACAAACACTAACAACCCTAAAAATGACACCCTTTGCACAACATTTAATTTTGAACGTTCGTGCACACTGTCAAGAAACTGCTTGAAAAGTGGAATGCAACGCAGAGGTAATTTTGACACTTGATCTCACGTGTAACACTGAATGGTTTCCCAACGCAATGAAGAGGCATATGCGAAACAACGCCGCGATCACGTCGTAGACAAATTGCTACTAACCAATAACCCTAAAAAGACAACACGCCATTTAATCTCCATAGATTACACTGTCAACAATTCACGTGAAAAACGGAACTCAAGCACAGGCGAAACTTGGGCAATTTGTCTCGTGCGGAACTTGTGCATTTGTTTGTCAAAGAGGTCTCGCAAGCATCGAAGAAGTACATGCGAAAGAGCGCTGCAAACACGTCATACACATATTACCACATAAACAAGAACAATGTAAACTAAAGAAACACACTCGTGGCACGGCATTTAATATAGATTGTTCGCACTGTCACGATTAAATAGCGTGAAAAGTTGAATTCAACGCAGAAGGAACTTTGAACCTGTCTTACATTGAAAGGTCACACAACCCGTCCCACCGTTGGACGACACCTTCTAGATGACATTTAATCTCTACTCGCTGGAAAAGCGAAACTCAACAAACGCAACCTAGACGCAGACAACTTAGACACATCTGCGTGTTTCACGCAGGACTTTGAAAGGTCTCACAACCCATTGAAACGGCTTACCGGAAGAGCGCCGCGACCACATTTTAAAACACATTACCACATTACCGACAACCCGAAAAAAGAGACACCCTTTGCACGGCATTTAATATCGAACATTGACACTGTTATCAACACCTTGAAAAGCGGGACTCAACGCAACGTGCTGCCAGAGCAGCAGAGCAGAGCGTGCAGCTCGGACCACATCTCAACATCTCAACACGTGAAAAGCGGAACTCAACAAAGACGCAACTTGGGCAGTCTGTCACGCGAAACTTGTGATGGTCAAAGAGGTGATGCAACGCATCGAAGAGGCTTATACGAAAGAGCGTTGTGAACACGGTCATAGACACATTACCGCTAACCATCAACCCCCAAAAAACACTTTATGCACGCCATTTAAACACAGACTTTCGCACTGTCATCAACTTGCGTGAAAAGCTGAACTCAACACAGACGCAACCTAGTACCAGACGTAAAAAGTCACGCAACCCACCGCAGTGGCATTTGCGAAAGTGCGCCGCGAACACATCATGAGACACTTTTACCACAACCAAATACCCGGAAAAAAACACCCTAAGCACGGTACTTTATCTCGACTCTTCACACTGTCATTAACTCGCGTCAAACGCGGAACTCCACACAGACGCTACCTAGAAACAGACGCGAGACTTCGAAAAACCTCGCATCCCACCGCAGTGGTATATGCGAAAGGGCACTGCGAACACATCATAAGACACTTTACCACATTACCAACAACCCGAAAAAAACCTCTGCACGGTATTTAATCGCGACTGTTCACACTGTCAGCAACTCGCGCGAAAAGCGGAACTCAACGCAACGCGCAGCCAGAACAGCAGCGCAGAGCGTGTGGCGCGGGCCGCGTGCGAGCGAGCGGCGCGGCGCGGCGGCTGAGCGTGCGTCTGGGGTGGCTGGGCGGGCGGTCTTCATCGCCGGCGTAGATCCCCGCTGGGCGCTCGTGCTCGCGGGGGCTACTCACCTCGTTTGTAATTGTCAACGGGGCGGCCGGGCGGCCGGGGCAGCCAGGCCCATTCACGCCTCGCCCGCGGCAGCGGCGGCGGCGGAGCGGCCTCTCTTGCGGCGCGGCGCTGGTGGCGAGAGCTTTACGCGCGCGCTACCGCAAACACACACTCACACATACACGCACACACGCGCCGCTCGCGCGAGAGGGCGAAAGAGAGAGAGAGAGCGAGACAGACGCGCGGCGGGCGAGAGCGAGTGCTCTGGGCGAGCGGCGAGAGCGATGACTGCTCGCGTCCGCGCGCGCCGCGCCGCGCCGCCCGCCGGGCACCCCGCCCCGGCCCGCCGCGCCCCCCTGGGGAAGGAGGAAGCGGAGGAGCAGGAGGAGGAGGAGGCTGCCATTGGCGCGGTGCCCCGGGCGCAGGGCGGGGCCAGCCGAATCGCCGCGTACCGCCGACGCGCACCACCGTGGGACCCCGCGCCGCGGCACGCGCACCCTCCGCTCCCGCCCAGGAAGAGCACGTGGGGTGCCACTCCCCCGCACGCGCCATTAACTGTTTCAAAAAGTGCCTGCTCTTCGAAGGCGGATTCATAAAATATTTAAAACTGGCTCGGTTTAATAAAAAATAAATTAAAGCGTTTTAATGTAAATGATGATGTCCTTCATGGGATTACCTTGACAGTCAAGAGCATTTACATGGCTGGGCCGCTGGCATGGCCGCGGAAGTCTACGACTTCACAAAACGTTTTAGTGTCTTTATTTTCAAACTTTGTACCCCAATAGCACATCGCTGAACTCACGAAAACGTGCGGAGATAGTAAAGCTTCATTTCGGTTCAGAAAAAATGATCTCAGCCTTTATTATGAATATATGTATCTCGTTCTCGGGAACTTCATTCTCATAATCTGGCAGGAATGTTACGGTTCGTGGTATTTCTGTTTGTACGTCTGTGAACAACAGAGTTAAAATATAGTTGATATTAATGTGGTGGAAGAAATTCTGTGTAACGTATACGAGAGTACTTTTCTCTGTCTTAAAATTACGTCGTTCAGTCTACAAATGCGTTTTGTATCTATCATGGATTTATTTTCTTACATGGACTTACAATGGACTTATTTTCGCTTCGTACAACAGAAAATCGCGCTCTGACGAACCTGTTTGTACGTGTTCGTCTTCGACAGTCAGGAGACGCGTAAACCAAAACGAATGACAGTATGAAAACTAATAAAAGAATGAACACGAATTTCAAGAATGAAATTATCAATTTTTTCCGGATTTGTATCGCATTTCGGACTGGAGATATCTAGCAACAATACACGAGCATCTCCAGAGTATCTTGCGCAGTAATTTATTATAAAGTTTTTCGTTTTGTTAGTTTCTATGTGATTTATTCTTCTTAATATTCTTACTTTTTAATACCCGAACTAAATAATTGGATTATAATTCTTTCATTTGCAAAGTCATCAACTTTAAACACTAAGAGTATCATATTGCCCGGCTTGTTGTAAATATATTTTTTGGGGTAATATTTGAGTTACAATAGACAAAACTGAATGTTTCCTAATACCTTGGAAACTAACATAACTTGTCGCTATCAGGAATTTCACACTGACACCCTTGTACTTCTTTCAATAAGTACTTCAGTGTATAACAGTACAATAAGCACATATACCTTGTCGATACCAGGAATTTCACACTTATACGTCCGTTTGCGTTTTTTAAAAAGTACTTCAGTGTAAAACAGTAAAATGAGCACGCTGTATGAGAATTCCAGGAGTCTCACGTGCAAAAATAATGTACATTATTTCAAAGCTCTGATACTTAAATTCTGATGGGGGTCCATACATTTCCCATTTCTCGCTGAAAAAAAAATCTATAAAAAATTGAATAACTGTGAAGAGCTCTTGGTATACGATTACCGTAGATATGCTGAAGAAATGTTCTAGAACATTGCTTCAACAGATCCCTTGTGGGACCTCGTGGCGCAATGTTCGGAATTACAGGCAATGTCGATGGAATAAGAAGAACTTCAAAGAAGAAATTCCTTGAATTCTTTGTTGACTATGAGAAAAGAAATAGTGCAGGACGGGCAACTTTTACGATTCAATAGCATCATCGTCTACATTTTACTGACCTGGCGGGGACACTTGTTTTCGGTTGCAAGATACACAAGTTTTCTCCAGTTTTCAATTCAACGTTAATTCACAAGGCAATATTAACAAAATGGCTAATTCAGAGAGTTCCCTTGCTTTTAATGAAGCATCCTCATCGTCACATGGCATATGCAAATGTCATCGAATTTCTTTTGGTGTTGACAATCCCAAGAAAGTGAAGCGGAAAAAGAAAATGTGGCAACGCCGTGATAAGTCTATCAACAGGCAATTGATGTCGCGACGTTGCGTCGTTTAACTTAGTGAACACTTTTGGTGACATATGCAATATCCGTTATGAGACACTTGCAAAGGAGTGGTGTGTGTGAGTAATACGAGCATAAGTGCACACTTGTCGGCATTACGTCATTGTGAAGTGTACGAAAGCGAAAAGCGTAAAACCGTGTGCAGTTTCATTGCAAATCGTAATTACTGTAAAAATATATGTTTACAACTCTTTTCGTGTCTCTCGATGTTTGTTGTTCATTTGGGATCTAGATAAATAAAAGCAGCCTAAAATAAACTGAGAAGGACGAACAAACCATTAAGAAACAATTAAAGAGCCTGACTCCTGTTCATCTGCATCGGTAATAAAAATTCATAATGCAATTGCGTGATGTTTAAGGGATAAAATTTATATCAAATTGCAATACATATTATTTTACATAAAATTATGCATATAAAAATTATGAAAAGCGAAATGCAATCTTCGACTTTTCCAAAGCAACCTCAAAGTGTCCATTGTACAAATATCTTTCTTTACGTCGCCACTAAATGGCATGGTGGTGTCAGTGCAATACTTTTTGCATTCTGTGAAGTAGTGCGAAAATAATATAACAGAATTAATTATTGGAGTTTGTTAGTTTCCCGCCTGTAATTGTCAGTTTTGACTGAACACAGACTTCAGAAGTGGATTGAAAACAATTGTTGTGTCACAAAACCGCTCCTGGAAATCAAGATTCGTCTTTGAAAGCAGATTTTGGGCAGAGCTCATTTCATGAAGTCGTAGGCTTCCGAGGCCAGAGTCATGTGCGTTATCTTGGCTGTCCGGGTGTCGCCGCATCGAAGGCGGTGTTCCCGACGTTTCGACCATCGTGTCGTGCTCTTCCTCAGGGCTGGTGATCATTACTCAGTCCAGCCCTGAGGAAGACTACGACAAGATGGTCGAAACATCGACAACACAGCCTTCGACGCGGCGTCACCCGGACAGACAAGATCACAGAGCTCATTTCAGTTTCAACGACCCCATACATCGGCTTCTGACACTCTCGCTCAAGAGCCCAGACAATGGCCCTTCGATCAGCGCGGCCTTTCAATCGGAACGGTGCCACGCCCTCTACCCCCTCTCCTCCTCCCATTGCCCTTCTCACCCGGGCACGCGCCTTCGCTGCCGGGCCCGCAACTGGCATCCATTACAAGATGTAATACAATGTTGGAAGGTCCACAGCCATACCAACCTCATTTAAATCACTTACTTTAGCTTACACCGGCTGAGGTGGGTCAGGACATCAGCTGATGTCACTGCAGTGCCTCTGACCGGGAGGTTAGGATCTCGATTGGGCGTATTTTCGACTCTAGCTAGATAACTGGGCAGACTTCAGCTGTTGTCAGGAAAATAACTTTAGCCGTCGTGGCGGCTGCATTGACAGGTAATTTTCCCTGGTTTATCTATTCACTTCCAGGCGAATGCCGGAGCTCTAGCCTAACAAATGAGCCACGGATTTTTCCTAGCTCTTCCTTGGCCTATCCTCACCCCCTACTTACACAAACATGCATGTTGCTGCATATGCCGGGAGAACAGTCGGCCTCCGAAAGCTTATCACGGCTGCGGGGGTACCCCACTGTTGGGAGGAACCTAATTGGTGAAAACCCCACAAGCGGGCGTGAAAGTCGGAGCCGAATCTCACCATCCAGTGGGAAGAACAATACTACCTCTCATTATGAAAACAAACATTGAAATAACTGTGTACTTAAAATGGTTCTTCATTAAATTCGATTTAATAAAGGGTATGGCTGAATTCATAATAACATAAACCATACAGACATAGAGTAAGAAAATATCTCAAAAACGATGAAAAGGCGGTCGAATGAGGAAAAGAGAACGTTACATATCGCTAAGAGATCAATACAATTATGTTCTCGTTTGTAATTGTATCGTTTGTGTGTTTGTAATCTGTCTTCTGCGCTGAGTGAGTAATTGGCTTACTTGCATTTAAAGGTCTTTTTTAGCCGTTTGTACAAAAATTAAGAGGAAACACTCATTATGGATAGGTGTATACCTGTTATAAGGCCACAAGGAATGTATAAAATTCCATACACAGGACTTCAAGATTTCGATGTTTGATTTTCCAAGGTTTAACTTCATTAAAAGTAAGAAGGTTAATGCCATGTAATGTTTACCATTCTGTTTTCTTGGACTCCGAGCGCAGGTGAGGGAGGAACCTTACGGCTGCTCCACACATTCGGCAAGTAGCTAGCGTCCGCTCCCGAGTAGTGTATTTGCCGAGCAACGAACATTTGGTGCTCGCACTATCTACCGCTGGTCACAACTAAGGAAACATTCGGTGCTCGCACTATCTACCGCTGGTCACAACTAAGGAAGCGAACATTCGCCATACACCAGGTGCTCGGAATTGGGAGAGTAATAGTTCGCTACTTGGCGAAAACCGAATGAATGAAGCCACCTTCACACATCTGTGGCTTCCCCTCTCATGGTCAGATAGTGTCAGATGTAGTGTGCCTTCCTCTTCCTGAGGATCGATAGGTGGATGAATGGTTGAAGAGAGATAAATAATTGTGAAAGAGATGAAGATGCGTAACACGAAGAGATGAACATGCATATGATGAAGAGATGAAGATGCATATGTGAACTATGTCATATGACATGGCGAAAACATGCACCGGGGACATTCAGTTTCTTCCTCTCTCCCTCTTAATTATTTATTTTTTGCTTCCGACTCAGGACAATATCGTTGCTGGGCGCAGTGCGGACGCCGACGAACGCGCAGGGCAACCTGGTCCTTCATTACCTTTCCCCTCATTAGTCGATCTGAAGAAGCGGAAATTTATTCATATAATTTTCGGTACAGAACTGCCG